TGACCATGAGTGACCGTGAGTGACCGTGAGTGACCGTGAGTGACCGTGACCGACCATGAGTGACCGTGAGTGACCATGAGTGGCTGTGACTAACCGTGAGTGACCGTGACCGACCGTGACCGACCGTGCTTGACCGTGGGTGACCGCTGGCTGCAGGTGACAGGACTGGACAGCGTGGACGATGAGAGTAAGGTGGAGAGCAGCTCGTTCCTCGAGGACACGCCGACGCCCGAGGAGTGGACGGACGACGACAACCCGCCCTACGCCTACTATCTCTACTACACCTACGCTAACATGGCCATACTCAATCACTTCAGGAGGTGAGTACATGCGCGGGGGAGGGGGGAGGGGCAGGCGCACGCATGACGATACATGGGTACCTGATCATTGATTGATTGATTAATTGATTGATTGATTGATTGATTGATTGACTGTAGGGCGTGAGGGCTGATGGAACTAATACTACTACTACCTTACTGTGTTGATAGATTGGTGGATGAATGGATTAATTGATTTATTGATTGGTTGATTGACTGCAGTGAGCAAGGGTTGAAAACGATCGTACTGAGGCCTCAATTTGTTGACAGATTAATTGATCAATATAATTTATAGATTAATTGATCAATATAATTTATAGATTAATTGATCAATATAATTTATAGATTAATTGATCAATATAATTTATAGATTATTTGATTGGTTTATTGATTGATTGATATATTGATTGATTTCAGGGAGCGAGGGCTGAACACGATCGTACTGAGGCCACACTGCGGGGAGGCGGGAGGCGTCGATCACATGGTCACCGGATTCCTTCTCGGAGAGAACATCTCTCACGGACTACAGCTGCGCAAGGTTCGCTAAACGTTCCTCACCGTGTGTTCGCACCCTTCCCATGTTCACCACGCGACGCGTGCGTTCGTACCCCGTCCTAAATACGTTCCCCTCGCGATCGCGAGCGATTTGGTGAAGCGTTGTTCGCGTGACGTTGCAATGTGTTCGTTTTACTTTTCGTGTCTTCGTCTTAATGTCAGAATCTTACTCATTTGTTCCGCGAATGAACCACGTGGGTTCCTGCCCTTCTTAGTCATGTCCTCGCGCGCAAAGGGGGTTCCTACCGTTCTAAGCCATGTTCTCTCGCGCAAAGTGGGTTCCCGCTGTTCAAACCATGTTTCACAAACATGTAAGAGGCGTTCCTGCAACCTGTTCACACGCTACGTTGACACCTGCGTCTCGTTACGACCCCCCCACCCCCGCAACCCCC